TGCAGCCCGGCTTGCCTGTTAGCTTAACCTGTGGCTCCAACTGCCCATGCAACGCCTGACTCGGTCTCGGCGGTATCTTCCCCAAAGGGGGCTCAAATAATTTCTTAAGTACCCGCACAGACCGAGCCCCTAGGCGAGGCGGGTTCGGACTTTGCGGGCTGCTATCTCAAGTGTTGCATCTCTAAAGTCGTAATTACTCATGTTTCCCTGCTGTACTACGGAGACATCTAATACAATAAAAATAGCAGCGGGAGGGCCGAAATCAGAAAAGCCACTTAATCCTCTCCAGCGGCTGCGCTGAGCCCGGGGCCGCCTGCCCTCGCCTGGATCCCGGATCCTGGATCCCGCTCCCTCCCTGCTCGGGCTCCAGTGGGCTCTCCGGAGTGTTTGGGGTGCTCTTAGCAGAGCTGCCAACAGGACTACTTTTTCTCTCCCTTGGAGAAAGGCAGGTTTCTCGGAGAGACTTGGGTAGCATACCGCAGTGGTTTAATTTATTTAAATTGCGAAGGAAAAGTTGTTGCGAAGGATACTCGGGGCAGATCGAGGTTGAAGACCCTTAGGAATCTTAAATAAATAAGAGGATTTAAGAATCTTAAATAAGAGGAGAGGAGCAGACTGTTGAAGAGCGTGTAGATAGAGGCTGAGTGTGAATTCAGAGCTCGTAATTAGATGCTTAATGCGGTTCCCAGGGGCCTAATGAAGAGGGTGTGAATCTGAGAAGCCAGCCCGTTTTGTTTAATTTTTTTCCTTAATCCAATAACAAGGACAGGAGAGATATTTTTTTGGAGGGTCACTCCCTTCATTTACATCTCCTTTGTGTGAGCCAGGAGCGATGAAGGCAGGAGGTGAGGGGTGTGCGGATGTCCGACTCCCGACTCCTGCCCTTTGCCGAGGTTTTCCGTGGAGTCAGGGAACCTCTTGCCACGAAGCACTGCTAGTAACTTTGGTCCCCGAAGTCTTGAAAAACCTATTTCCTTCATAAAGCACCCATTTTCTTTACTGGAACAGGAGACATAAATTTGAAGCATGCCTCGGGCAGCCCTGGAGTTTTGGGGCCACTTCACTTTAAGCAGGGCCCGATTTTCCCTTTTCTCTCTGCCCTGGCTGCCGGAGGATGGGGGCTTTGTGGGTCGTGACGTTTGGAGTGCTGCTAACTTGGCTGTCTTTCTCCTTCCCCCCTCTCCTCCGGCCACTCGATGCAGGGCGGCTGAGCCCCCCAGCCTGCACCCTGCGCAAGCACAAGACCAACAGGAAGCCCCGGACGCCCTTCACCACGGCGCAACTGCTGGCCCTGGAGAGGAAATTTCGGCAGAAGCAGTACCTGTCCATCGCCGAGCGTGCCGAGTTCTCCAGCTCGCTCAGCCTCACTGAGACCCAGGTGAAGATCTGGTTCCAAAACCGCCGCGCGAAGGCCAAGCGGCTCCAGGAGGCCGAGCTGGAAAAGCTGAAGATGGCAGCCAAGCCCATGCTCCCGCCTGCTGCTTTCGGCATTTCCTTCCCGCTGGGCGGCCCGGCCGTGGCCAGTGCTTCTCTTTACGGCACCTCCAGTCCTTTCCAGCGGGCAGGGCTGCCACCGGCGGGCGGGCCTGCCAGTGGCTCCTGTGGGACTGTACACAGCACATGTGGGATACAGCATGTACCACCTCACATAGAGCTGAGCACTGCCGAGCCTGGCCCGCCAGCTGCCTTGCTACCACCAGCTCCCTCCCTGCTCTTTCGCCTCCTCACTGTGGACTTTCCCACGGGCCCTCGGGCAGAGAATTCTCCAGTCTGGCTCTGCTCGGCCTCTCTACTTCTTCCCCCTGTGATGCTGACCCCGGGTCCGGCCCTGTTCCATTCTCTCGGCAGTCCTGGGAGCAGCACCATTCTCCTGCTAGCAGAAACCTGCGGCACCCCCCAGCTCTTCCCTGGCACAGGATGGCAATGGGCCAGTCCGGTACTGCTGTCAGCCTGGGGAGAGCCCCCTGGCATGGGGAAGGAACTGTGGAAGAGAAACAGCAAAAAGGGGGCTGAAAGACAGGATGTTTCTCTTACTTTCTACCAGACAAGGTCAAGAGGCAGAAGTGTAGAGCAGCCTCTCCCGTCCCTGTGTAGCAGCACCGCCTGTTACCTGTGTTTGTTCCTCCACCAGCTCCTTTGGAAGGGGCTCTGTGTACTATGTAATATACTGTATATTTGAAATTTTATTATCATTTATATTATAGCTATATTTGTTAAATAAATTAATTTTAAGCTACTGTTTGATGCAATTTGTTTGCTCCTTGCCCTGCCAAGGGGTGATGAGAGAGGAGACAGAATTTGTATATCGAGGGACAGGAGAGAGGGACTGGCTGG